AAATTATAAAATATAATATAGAGCTAAAAATAAATATATACTAATATAGGAAAAAAAAATAAATTCTATTACAATATATCAACATTTACTTAGTATAAATTTAATATTTCTTTTAGAGATTAGGAAAAGATTTTTCTTTTTTTACAATATTGTAATGCAAAAAAACTTATTTATTTATTTATTTTTGTCACATTTCATATTAAATTTCATTCTAATTAAATTATATGATAACATGCTTAAATTATAAAATAGTAAAATAGCATACTTATCTGTTATTTGACAGAAAATTATTTGATAATATAACTTAATATTGTAGTATAGATTCTTTACAATCAAATTCAATATTTTAATTAAAATTCATAAGAAGCCTTAAAGCTTTTTAATAATTACTGTTTATTAGTTAACCAGCATATCTATCAATCTATCTCTTTCTAAAGAACATATGAATATGTACATATATACGTACAAGTGTGCATAGATTTGTATAAAATATAATTATACATAGACTATGTGCATATTTCTTAAAATTTTTGTATGAATTAAACAATTAGGTTTATTTGAATTTTTGCATATACATATGTTTTTTTTTCCCACTCACTATCTTATTTTAATGCTATAATCTTAGTTAAACATACCTTTAATAAGAAAATGCTCATTTTTAAGGACTATGTATGCGAATAAAAGTGAGTTAACATATTTCTATTAATCCTATTCAGAATAACACAACAGTTATAACAAATGGATTAGGTTTAATGTCTTGCTAGCATACAGTACACTTTGAAAATTATTTACTTTATATAATATTGGGAAACTTTTTATTTAAAAATTCTAACATTTCTGAAAAGTATCTCAGTATCAAATAAAGTAGTTTAAATCAATAAACCTATTATACATATGATTAATTTACATGATTAATACAGTACTCTCTTCAGTATACTCTATATAGGATCTACCTTTCATATAATAATTTCAAAGATATTATATAGACTGAAGGTACTGTATGCAGTACTATATTATTAAAAAAGAAGTTAGTATATGAATTGATTTAAAAAAATTTTTTTTAAAAAAGAACAAGTTACTTATCATTTAATCTGTCATTAATTAGATGTAACTTGCAGATAGACATGCCACAAAGAACTTCGCAAGAAACAATGGCTGTATAAAAACAGCAAGTTGCTAAAAGATATATGCTTAATAAAATTAGAACAGGTGCATATTAGTACTTAATCAGAACACATTTGGTAGTTGAAAAAAATAAAATAACTTAAACATTCTTTATCTTATACAAACACATAAGAACAAAAAGAACTTTACCAAAATTTTATTATTACTCTATATCAGGAATATCTAAGTTAAAATCATCTATAGTAATTTTATGTAATATTTTTTTTTGAATTGTTAGATCTTTTAAAAATAATATTTTTTTAATAAAGAAAAATAATCTTCCACACCTTTTAATAATAAAAAAAACAAAGCTTTCTGTAATTCTAAATTTTTTAAAAATTATAAATTATTATTTTTCTTCATATTTATCTAGACTGTATATCTAAAAAATAAAAGTTTATACATTATTGCTTTAATATTGTGCATTATGTCAACTCATCAACATATTAGTCTTACTGCTATACAAAAGTGTAGCCTTTGTGAACAGAAAGAACAAAACCCACACCTTACCAATAATGAACTAGCAAAAATTTATCAGATTGGCAAATTAACTGTATCTGATATCTTAAAAGAAAAAACATGATGGCTTTCTATTTTAGGTGTTGAACTAGAAAAAAAGTTTTGCTGACCAAAATAGCCAAAATTAGAAGATGCACTTGGTCTATGGGTTGATAATGCACTTGAAAGTAATCAGGATATTGATGGTAATATTCTTAAAGCGAAGGCAGTATTTTTTTACAAAAAAGTTAAATATTGATAACTTTAAACAATCTGAAGGTTAGTTAAGTAGCTTCAAAAAAAGATGTAGTCTTCATTTATTTAAAAAACATGGAAAATCTGCTAGTTCCCTCTCTAAAAAATTACTGGCTAATAATCGTATCAAATTACAAGAACTTTTTTGTACCTATAAACTTAAAGATATCTGAAACAGAGATGAAACTGGTCTTTTTTGGAAAATAGAACCTTTACAAGTATTAGCATGTTTATCAATTGCTGGTCATAAAAAAGAAAAAGCCAGAGTTACAATTTTTTGTGTTATAAATACAGCTAGAACTGAAAAAATAAAACTTATTTTTATTTATCAATATAAAACACCGTGCACAATGAAAAACTTGAATTATAATAATCTTTCTGTTTATTGTTTCTGGAATAAAAAAGCATGAATGCAGGTTAGTATTTTTAACAACATTCTTCTTAAACTAAATACCAAAATAAAAAGACAAAATCAAAACATTATCTTATTGATTGACAATACTATGATACATATTGTTTTTGATAAAACACAGAAGGAACTTAGTAATGTAAGAGTTAAATTTTTGCCTAAAAATACTATAGCATTTCTTTAACCATGTAATGCCAAGATTATTAATTCATTCAAATGCAAGTATAAGCAGCTTTTTGTTCAAAATTGAATAAATGCATATGATGATTTGCAAGATGATATAGTAAAAGAGCTTTCAGAATATAATATCTATTATACACTAATTAATGCCACAGAGACATGGTCAATGGTATTGTCTGAAACAATTATTAATTGTTGGAAAAAAACTGGTATTCTTCTAATTCAAGAAGCAGAAATGCAAGAAATCAATTATAAATACAATGAAGAATTTTTTAGAAATGATGATGAACTTGAAATTTTGATTAATAAGTTATCTGAAAATAATTATTTAAGTGCCTTTGAATACATTTGTATTGAAGATACAGTTGTTGTAAGAAGTCTTACAGATAATGATATATTGGAAGTAGTAGCTGATAATGCTAAGAATAAAGTTGAGCAACTTATTAGTAAAATAAAGGAGAAGGTGAATTATATTGAAGCAGAGATAGCAGTTGACACAGTTTTGAGATTCTTATATAAACAAGAAGAAGAGTTTGGCAAAGTTGAAGAAAAGACAAAAATTTTAAGAAAATTATATAGAAAAGTTAGATTATTCTATATAAAAAATCTTAAGCAATTAGATCTTCATTATTTTATATCTGAATAAATTGAATACATCACATAAGTATACTATAGGCAAATTTCAAAATTTTGTAACACTTATATGTACAAACCTACTAAAAGTTTCTTGTAATCTCTAAAAAACAGATATGAATACAATAAAGCTTGATAAACATTAGTAATAAGAGAATCATAAAATATAAACTATGAATTATACTATTATTTTTTTTCACAAATAGTTGTTTAAAGGAACTATAAATTTTATTAAATTAACATTCAAATATGCTAACATAATATATAAATTAAAGTTAGATTATTTTTTTTAATAATAAATATAAAAGAAATATGATAACATTTTATAAAAACTATATATCTCTTAATAATCTTGGCTTAAAAAGAAAAGTGTTAGAGGTAATAATTTCAAATAAAGCTAGATCAAAGTAAAAAAGTTAGTGCTCTACAAGAATGCTAACTTTAAATATTAATGAAATCAGCTTGGAGATGAGAGAAAAAGACTCCAACAAAGATTAAAAGATGTAAAACGTATATCGAAAATATGTCACATGTCTAGCATATGATTAGCTAATTTTATATACTAAATGTTCGATATAAATAGAGAAATGTGTATTCTGGATTCACTCTATACTAAACAAAATTTACTAAAACAGCTTGTTCAGTTTAGAGAGAGGTGACTGTATTTATATTATCAATATTAGTAGTTAACATTGAAGTTGATTAAAATGATAGAGCTTTTAGAAGCATAGCTAGTTCAGGATTCTATAGATTGTTTTTTGGAATAAACATGTTAGATACTGGTACTAAATATAATAAATCAAGTAATGTAGTAGAAAGGTTTTGGAATATAAAAAAGTTGTAGTTTAGGTATATTTGTTTTAATGACTAAGGTGTATGACATCATTTAAGATGTTATAGAAAGTATACTAGTTTATTTACTTTTTTTTAAATTTTTTTAATATGAATAAGGTGTAGAGTTAGAGTTGTTAGCTTTATTTTTTTTGAAAAAGAAAAGTTTGCTTTTAGTTCTTTATTTTTTTTAGGTCTTTCATTTTGAGAAGCTTGAGATATAATAGATATAACTAGAATATTTAGCTGAACTGGGTCCTGTAAAAATCTATTTGTAAAGATAATAGCATTAAGTTAGTGTTAAGTAAAGTTTTGAAATCTTGTATTTTAGTGGTTGAAGTTCTTTATCTTTTAGCTATATTAAATAAGTTTTAGATATTTGAGAATATATTTTTTCTCTCTTTAAGTATCTTTTGATTTATTTTATTTAATATAATTAAAATTTTAGTATCAATTTTTTGTTTTTAATGATCTATAGAAAAGTTTTTGATTTTTATATTAAAGGTTTCTTAGTAGAATCATTTTTTTAAATACAAAGAAAATACATATTTTGTAATAATATATATAAATAACTCATTATAAATTGCATTAAATACAACTTTTTTATTAATATTTTATATACAACCTCTTCTTTTTATAAATTTACTAATATAAAAGTTAACTTTTTAAAATCTTAGTCACAAACTCTTTAAATCCAAATAATTTAATACTTTTTAATAAAAAATGTCTAGTTATAATTAACAATAAAATGTTTTTTAAATATCTAAAAACATGATTTACAACTAATAGAAAGCCAATATTAGTATAAAAAAAATAATAGCTGAAACTAACATTAATTTAAAAAAACTTGTTACAATCTAAGTATCAATACAAAAAGAAATAAAGTTAAACCTAAATGGTTCTCAATAGAAAGCAATAATATAATTATTTAGTCTTAAAATAAAAATAGTTAAAATTATATAGATACTAATTAGATAAACCAAAGAGTTTAAATAGAACATCCATAAGCAGAAATCAAATATAACAGATAGTAGATAACCTTAGAACAAACTTCTTAAATAAAAAAAACTAAAGTTGTACATATAACTAACTATATTCTTATAAACTATATATATGCTTAAAATATTACTAATTAATAAAAATTAACAGTTTGGCTAAGTAATTAATCACTTATTGTTTTTAAAAAAAACTACAATTTGCTAATATAACAGAAAAACAAGTAATTTATATTATAAATAATGTTATTACTTTATATCTTCTCTATTAGTCATATTTTTTATTTTTATTTTTTTTACAAATAAACTCTTTAACAAAGCTTGCACTTCACAAAGCAAAACTAGTATGAGAGATTCCAAACTCTTTTTTATTTAATCTAGATATTTATATATTATTAAATTTAGTCTAAGTTCAAACTTTAGTACTAGTTTTAATATTCAAAAAAATCTAAATTGTTCTAATTTTAACTTTTTTTTAAAATTGTATTTATTTTTTTTTAAAAAAAAAATATTAAAGTAAGTACTTGTAACTCAGGATTTTATTAATAGTATATTTGGCTAATGATTGCATTATAACTACAGAGGTCAACTATGAAAGAGTGTACAACTAGTTACTTATACAACTTTAGTTATTGTTCAATTTAAGTAGTTTGCCTAAAGGTTCTATACTAGTTGCAATACCTGAAAGCTGCTTATAGATTTCTTATTTAAGTACTTTAATTCTTATATTTATTCATCTACCTTTGTTTATTAATGATCTTGGCTGATATTAATAAAAATATGTCATGGTCACTAAGTCTTTAAAGCAGTTTACTTATAAGAAGAACCTTTGATCTTGTACTAAACTTTTTAGAATCTTCTGTATTCTATTTTTACAACTGACTTAGTATTGCTATAGTTGAGACTAATACTTGCAATTAGAATGTATCATTAAACCACTATGCTCTTGTAAAGTTTACTCCAACCTTAGTACTAACTTTACAATATATTTCTATTACTTTGGTATTCAATTCAAGTTTTACTAAACTTTTAGATCAAATAGTCTAGAAAGGTAGATCTAATTGTATCTCTAATTTACATGTTCTTTAATATATAACCTTTTTTTTTTAGAATAGATTTTAGTAACCTAACTGGTTTGATTTAACCCTTTTTTAAAGACTGATTTTTTGTTTAGCTTTATGAATTCTAGTTCTGTTTTATAGGTTTAGTCTTTACAATAGCAATATTGAAAGTTTAGGATATTTTTTTACTTAGGTTTTCCAAGTAGACTTTTGTTTTTCTATCTGGTTTCTGTGATTTGCATAGTCTAAAAACTTATCATAGGTTCATACTGCTTAGTACTAGTTTGTGTTTCTTTATACAAGGTTGTATAAATGCTTAAACCTTCCAATCATGCTAGTATAGCACAGATAACAGGTATTTAATCTTAACTAATCACAGAAAACAGTTAACTATAATACAGAAAGAATTATAAATTTTCATTATCACTAAGATTTGAATTCTAGATTTGTCACTTGGAAGTTAACAACCTATTCACTTTACTAGATCACCATACCTTTTAAAATTGTATTTACAATAACTACAAAATATAGTACTTACTAATATTTCAATTCTATTACAACTTTTAGTCTTTTTATTAACATAACCAAATATACAAATATGTCAAATAATATTAGCATTATATGTATTGATATTGCAAACCTTATATAATAGTAATAACTAGTTATATTCAAAAAAGTTTGCTAGCACTTCTATAAACCAAATTTTTTTAAATTATCTTAGAGTCTCTTATCTTAAAAAAAAATTAAATAATTATAATATTCAAAGTATTAACAATTTCTAAATACATTTAATACAGAACTTTTAATATAGAATAATTTTTACTATAACATTAAAAAAATACTTTAGAATCAATGCTTTTATTAGTATTGCTTAATGTAAGATCTAATAACTACATTTACAAACTTATTTTTAAATTTTTGTAATTAGATCTATATACATTAGCCAACTAAATACTTAGCAAAAAAGACTAAGTAATTATAAAAGACATAATCTTTAGAAGAATCTATAATTTTTTTAATAAGAATTTTAAAACTTATTATTATATTTTATATTTTGACAATATATTAACAGCCTGCCAAAGATGCACATTAAAAAATAAAATCTATTTTTCTAAATACTACTACTTCAATGCAACAAAGCTAATTTATAATCTTTAAATAGCAAATTATAATTACAACTCTTCCTGATGATCCCTCACACCAATTTTTTTTCAAAAGTCTGACCTATGAAAACTATATAGTTATTATATTTAAATATAACAAAACTCTATTTTGAATAACTAGGGAGGCTATTCACTGCATGTTTGGTTGTAACTGAAAAGAGCTGAAAAAGATTCGAACCCTT